GGGGGAGTGGGTCACTCACCAGCCTGCCTTCCTAACCGCCTATGGAAGACAGTGAGCAAGGGAGACCTATTCCCTTCCACAAGCCCTAATACTACCTGACTATGTAACTAGCACAGGCCAGTGCTATCATAACAATAGCAGCTACCAACTATGAGCGAGGTCCTGTGTGACCATCAAAATAGAAATTCTCTCAGGCATTGCTCCCAATAACCCTAAAAACAAATACCCATCCCACAGCCCATTCATTGCTGTAGGAACTAAAGTTCAGAGAGTAAGGGCCATATGGAGAGAAGGTAGCAGGTAACTCAGAACTGGATCCAAAGCCCTAAGCCCTGGCTCCTCGAATCCATTTCTATTTTTTCCCCTGTTCATTCATTCATGAACAGACATTTATTGAACACCCACTAGGTTCCTGGCCCAAAGATAAGCCATGTGCAGCTGCAGAGATGAGCAAGCAGCCCTTAATCCCAAACACGTGGAGGAGGAAATCCAGTGACAAGGGCGCCCCTTCCTCCCACTTTTGCCCATTTGACCTTGCAGTGGTCGGTGCCTGCCTGTTCCCCGGTTCATTCACCTCTACTCCTCTTTACCTCTTTGTTTTCTCGCATCTTCAAAGATTTCTTTTTTAATGCGTTTTTCAGGTGGCACAGTGTTGCCTGGTATTCAGTCAGACCAAAGGGCAGAACCCTTGTTTATGATCAACCGACTATCAGCCCTCTCCCCACCTGGGCAGTGGGGACGGGGGTGGGGGTGTGACTGTCCACCTCTACTGTCACTTAATCTCACCTGGGCATCCATTTAGGGCTTCCACAGAGACTGAGTTCCAGGGTTACTAAGATCCAATCGATGGACGGCGCATACTGACCCTTTTTAATGTTATGCAACTCACTTTGAAACAGCTGAACTACTCCCGACTCACCTTGACCCCGCAGAGGGCGGCATGAAATGTCACCCTGTGCTGTGCCACCTCACCATCGCTGTCATGTTGCAGCCACTGTGACAGCCATGCCGTTGAGCGGCTTCCTCTTATGCTGAACCTCTCCTTCTCCCTACGCCATGTCCTTCTCCAGGGACTGGCCCCTCAGGATACAATGGGAGATGAAATCTCCCGTATCTGAGAGGTCGTTTCATGGAGAAATGGAGTTACAAGTTCAAGGAATTGTCCACGACCCTTTTGGTGTCCCCTCATATGGAATGCTTTCTCCGGCACCAATGGTATCAGAGAAGATCATACGTGCTGAGCAAAACATAGAGTCGGGGCTGTGCAGTGGGGGCGGGTGTGTGCAACTGAGCAATCAGGAAGAGTGGCTGGATGGTGGTGTCACCCACGCAGCTGCTCACCTGGAGGGTGGAGGTCCGTGGTGCTTTAGAAAGAGCGCGCGCGCGCGCGGGCGCGCGCGGCAATCTGCTTCTGAACTCTGCCACCAACAGCCCTGAGCGGAGCCCAGTTCTACTCGGCACCTGAGGTCACCCTGCATCAGAATCGGCGCCGTGAGCAACTGTCTGTTCGCTCGTTTGGGCACCCTGCATGCCTGCCTACCTGGGACACCCTCCGGGCAGGCCTTTGCCCTCTTGCTTCCTCCATCTGGAACATTCTTTCCCACCTCCTGAGCTCGCTCGCTCTTCACAGAAAGGTTTCCTTCGCAGGGCTCTCTGGCCACTCTATGTAAGATAGGCATTCTCTCGGACCCCCACTCTCCACCCAGTGTCCTCTTGCCCTCACGGCGCTCAAATCATCAGTGCTCTGACGACCCTGGTGCTTTAACTCCCCGCTAGTCCTCCCTGTCCTCCTCAACGGGGACCGTCTTGCTCACTCCTAGGTCCCAGCCCTAACCCAGAGCCGGACAGTCGGTGCCCAGGAGTGGACAGACATGCTCCTTAAAAGACAAATAGCATGTCCTAAGCACCTTGGCCCCTCCCACCCACTGTTGTTGGATGCATGGAGTCCGATCGACTCAGGGGGACACCTTGTACCAAGGCACAACTGCCCCGTCAGGCCTTTCTGGCTATAACCTTTTCAGAAGCAGGTCTTCCGTGCAATGGCTGGGCAGGGTCAAACTACCACCTTTCCGTCAGTCATCAAGCACTTAACTGTGGCACCACCAGGGCTCATTTCCCACTTACTAATTACCCTTTAAGTCAGCGGTTCTCAACCTGGGGGTTGAGACCCCTTTGGGGCTTGAACGACCCTTTCACAGGGGTCACCTGATTCAGAACAGTAGCAAAATTACAGTGATGAAGTAGCAGCGAAAATAATTTTATGGTTGGGGGGGTCACCACACACAAGGAACTGTATGAAAGGGTCATGGCATTAGGAAGGTTGAGAAGCACTGCTTGAAGCTCTTAAAGCAGTGCTTTAAACCAGTGATTTAAGTTCTAAAATAAAAAATGAGTGTTTTCTCATTTTGGTGGGGCCTGAGGTTTGAGCGTGGCCTCTAAATCCCTTTCCACTAAATCCACTGCTATAAATTAGGAGGCCACGTCCCAAAGGATGGCTGGTGGGGTTCCCATTCATACATGCAAGGGTTCATTCCACACCAAACTATCCACTGGCCTGTGAGCAGGGAGTGGCTGCAGACAAGTTCTCTCAATAATACACTTGTCTTAGGCTAGTTAGGGAGCTTTCAGGGGGCCAGGGGGGAGGATACTTTTTTGTGCCATAGAAAATGTGGATTCTGAGATCAGGGCGAATATTACATCTTGAACAAACTCAAATGGGCATCATCCAAATGATCAAAGCTTTGCAGCACTTTTATGGAGGTGCCGCCTCACGGAAAACCACACTTTAAGTGAATTGGGTGTTTTAAGGAAGGCCGGAAAGACCTTGAAGGTTAATTCAAGGCAGAGAGTCCAGCTCAGGTTATGGCTACTGTTTAGGGAGGATGCTCAAAGCAGAATTTTGATAGGTTTTTTTGAAGGACCCAGAATGATGATGGGGGCTTTCTTATGAAGATGTCTTAAGAAAAGTTTAAATTGCACTGCTGAGAAAAAGGCCAGGGAAGTTGCACCGTGAGGAATTGGGCTTCTTTGCCCATCGGGACAAGGTTCCTTCGAGGGGAGCAGCGAGGACTGAGGATTCCCTGGGGAACCTTACTCATCTGCCCTATCGCCCTGATCTTGCCCCTGCAGGCGCCTCTTGTTCGTTTAAAAGAAACACGGTTTGCGTCCCTTGAAGATGCCCAAATTCCCTTTTCGCTGTGGTGTCAATCAAACCACACACAGTTTCACAGACAGGGCGCTTGACTCACTAGGCCTCCAGAGCTCCTGCTTCAGAAGTGTACGGACCCAGGTGGGGCCTATGGACCCAGGTGGGGCTTACGTATGCTGAGAAACAAGAGCTTCGCATTTTGATACTTTGGGTTCATGAAAGCTTCTATGGTTTTGTTGCAATGCTTCTCTATTGACCCTGGTCTTCCATTTCAGACACTGATTCCAATTGCTTAAAAACAAGTGGCATCAAGAGTCAAGACTGCCATGGTCACAGTCGAACAAGTAAGTACTGAGGTGCTGTTTGTCCTTCCACGAGCAGAGCTCGCTCTTTCCCCAAGAAGAGAGAGGCACACGTGTTCTCAAACGCAAAGGGATTTCCTTTCACTTGGAAATGGTGATCACAAGGATTAAAATAGGAAGGTTCCAACCCTGTTGTATTTCTAAATGAGTGTTTACTTTTGCGGGGGCAAAAAAAAAAGTCTAGAGTTGAGCCCTGAGAGGAGAATCCCATGAACCTTTTCGGGAGAAAGATAAATTGGCCCAGCACTGAGTCCAGCCTGCAATTCGCAGCTCTGCTCTGCGTGGCGAACGCTTTCTGGCGGCTAGGTGTGGTTCTCACCACTGGATGGGCTTTAAATCGACAATCCCCACCACCTACTCAGGAGGTCAGTACTCTTGTCATGCCCACTTTACAGAGGAGCTCACAGAGAGATGAAGTCGCTTGCCCAAGGTTACAGAGTTAAGGAGAGGCGATGTCAGGACCCAACCCCGTGATACAATGGTACACAGACAGACCAGGCTTTCATAAAAAACAATTGTAGGGTTGTTTGCCCAGACAGTGTGGCTATGGAATCTCATGGCCCCAAGAAAGAAGGTTGAGAAGACTATTTGATTGTCACGTCACTAAACCCACGGTCCCGCGGGGCAATGCAGGCTCCCTGGACCGTGGTATGGCCACTCAGGGTGTACTTGGTGTCTGTGTGTGGGCTGCAGCTGCTCAGATGGAAGACAGGCATTTCATAGCTCGTTCTGGGTAGAAAACTCCGTCAGAGTCAGGATACTGTCACCACAAAGCACCAATTCTCCGGCGTTCGTGTTGCTAGGATGGTGGAAGCCATACCGGCCAGGTGGCCCATTGTGGGCAGATTTCAATGGCACTTTCAGATTGAGACAGACTAGGAAGAAAAGTCTGACGATCGCTTCCCAAAAAGCATGCAGGGAAACTTCTGGATCACAGTAGAATATGGTCCGACGCGGTGTGGGAAGGTAGACAGTGATGGTGAAGCCAGGTTGGTATTTCTGTGCAGTGCGTGCATCACTGGGAGCTGTGCTGACCGAAAGGCAAGCAACTGTGAACGACCCGTGCAAGTCGTCAATAAAATAACTTCTTCATTTCTTCTCCTCAAAGGCCTGCAAAGCTCTCACCTGTGGGAATTCGTGCGCGACCTGCTCCTCTCGCCGGAAGAAAACTGTGGCATCCTGGAATGGGAGGATAGGGAGCAGGGCATCTTTCGGGTGGTCAAATCTGAGGCCCTGGCCAAGATGTGGGGGCAACGGAAGAAAAATGACAGGATGACTTACGAGAAGCTGAGCAGAGCCCTCAGGTAAACGAACAGACCGGAGCAGCCGGGCCTTCGTGCCCAGTTATGTAAAAGGGCTGGCCGGACAAACTCAAACCCGGTTGTCTTGCCGCGTTTTGCTTGCTAATCAAAAGGTCATGAGACAAAACCCGGGTTCTCAGTTATGGGGAGGATTATGGTTTGTAAACCAACCCGCCTTGCCGGTCTTCTCCAGGGCTCGCACTGAACCCAGGCCCTGTCACACAGGCGCACAAAACACAGGGAGGCTCAGTCTCCCAGATGTCTGGGAAAGGTTTAAGTGTAAGCTGATCACGGGGTGTGGAAATTCCAGGGAAACCGGAGAGTGGCCTTGTTACCCGAGAGGCAGGGGGCTTCTCAGCTCGGCTGCGTTCTGGGCGCTGCCAACCGCGTCTGCTGCCTTTTGCAGGTACTACTACAAGACGGGGATTCTGGAACGGGTCGACCGAAGGTTAGTGTACAAGTTTGGGAAAAATGCTCACGGCTGGCAGGAAGACAAGCTATGAGCTGCGCCGTGCACCGAGCTCGCTGTGTGGATGTCTCTTTCAGAACCAATCGGGTCGCAATAGACATTTGAAAAGTCCTGTTTTCTTGTCTTGTCTTTTCTTTTTGTTGTTTTTTGTTTTTAAACCTGCAAACGTGCTGATACCATTTCCTCCCCCTCTCAGCTCCCATTTGGATTTGGATTTCTTGCTGTTCACTTGGGGGAGAGGGGGCGCGGGGAATTGTAGCAACCTTCATGAAATCTTTTTTTTCTTGCCCCCCTTGCCTAAGAGGAGATAATCCTCTGTTGTCGAGTTACAATAACCAATGTCATTGCCATTGCTACATCATCATCATGTGCTTCTACCCCTAGAGATGCATCCCGGGCTCCCACCCCAACGGGTCAATGATGTTCAACAAAGGAAGAAGGTGGCTAGTTTGTCATTAATAGAGTAGGAGAGCGTAAGGCATGCGGAGTTGAGGTTTTAAATCGTTAAAGACAGATTCCATGGGGTTGGGGGGCAGCTCTTCATTCATGAAAGAGCTAAGCCATCAAATTTGGATACTGGTTGGATTGACCATAGATTATTACAAGGTTTCTTAACCAGAGCACCTATCTGGCCGCTCAGGGAGACTCCCCCCTGGCCATCCTTCTATCCTTCTAACTCTTCAAATCAGCCCCTTTAGTAATTATAATTGAGTTTATTCCCTACCTGGTGGCTGGCATTGAACAGGGGAAGTCAGTGCCCAGACACTCAAATCCATCGCCCAATTGCTGCCGGGTCTGTGATTCAAGTCATCAAAACAATAGAATGGTCATCCATTGTGTCTGTCTGGGACGGAGATGTTCAGTCTTCCTAGCTCGGCAATGTTCTGATAACTCCGTAACAGCCAATGACAGTGTGAGTCTCTTACCTGTCTTCCTACCTGATGGATAGTCCAGCACGAAACACATAGTTCCTTGGCAAATATATAGTGACAGTGAATTTGCACCCATAAATGTTCCCGGGTTAGTCTGCACTGTCGCTTGCTCCTCAGTCACTGGTTTGTAAGTTATGGAGGGCCGACGAGGTGGCCTGTCCCCTGACTGCCCCCTCACCACAGGCAGAAGCATTGAGTGAAGAGGCACTGACCGGCCTATCTTAAGATCTCCATGGTTAGAGCTTAACTTCAAAAGCTAACTCGTTTTAAACAAAAAATGTGAATTGCTGTAAAATAATCTATTTTTGGATTCATGTGTTTTCCAGGTGGATATAGTTTGTACACAATGTGAATAAAATATTTAACACATTAAATGGTCTCTGTCTGGTTAAATTCTGCAAGACAGACTCAGCCAGGCACTGGCAACCAGGGACACCTTTGCAGACTCTTCAACTCCTGGTCTTGAGGGGTTAGGATAGTGTTTTAAAGCAGCAGTTCTCAGCCTGTGGGTTGTGACCCCTTTGGGGGGTCACACAACCCTTTCACAGGGGTCGCCAGATTCAGAACAGTAGCAAAATGACAGTTATGAAGTAGCAATGATTATTATTTTACGTTTGGAGGGGTCACCACAACATGAGGAACTCTATTGAAGGGTTGAGGCTTTAGGAAGGTTGAGAACCACTGTTTTAAAGACTTCAAATACAAGGACGCTTCAAGAAGTCCATGGGGGAAATTCCACTACCTTTTCATTCCCCTTTTCCGCAAGCTTTTTGCAGCCCCCTTGTGTGTTGGGTGAAGCTACGCATTACCATTTAAATCACCAGACAGAGGTTGCATCACAGGATGGACACTGAGCTCATGTGCCCTCATGATGTTTGTTCAGCACAGACACACAGACACCCATTAGAGGTGCAGTGTATGTGTGTGAAGGGCTTCCAAAAAACGCGTGCAGAAATGTAATGAAAATATAATGGCATTTTTTAAATCCCTCATGGATGTGTTTTTATACCTACATCTATACATTTCTTTTTTGCTTCTTATTTTGAGATTTTAGATGATCTCTGTAAATCAGTTGCTTTACTTAAAAATCAAGAGATTTAACTAAAAATTCGGAATGTCAGCTCCTCTTGAAAAAGAAGGTTGAGGAGCTAGTTTCTCCAGTCACGTGTGGCAAGAAGTAGAAGAGGCCCCTTCAGACGGAGCAGCTGGTCACCACTGCTGCCTTCTGGACCATTATGCTTGTTGTTTTTCGTTTTTGTTTTTTCACATGTCAGAATGTTAAAAAAAAAAAAAAAAAAGTTTTATTGGCACTTCAGCCACATATCACACAAGTCAATATTTCAGTCCTATCGAAGAGTTCTGCAATCTTCACCACAATCAATTTTAGAATACTTTCTGGCTCCCCACCCGTGGTTACATTGCTTTCCAAATGAGCTGTGTAATCACCATCCATTCTAGAGAGCTCCCTCCCCTCTCCCACGTTGGCTCCTCCAGCCCCCTCCCCCCATCTCCCCTATAAACCCTCGCAACAGTTCTTATCTCTATACAACCACCCCTGTGCTTCACAAACGGAAAACCCAACAGAGACAATCAAAACCAAAACGAACATACGGTGGCAAGGATAAAATAATAATGAGAGATAACAATACAAATAATGAGTAAGAAAGAAAAGACCATCGTGAATACAGGAGGACGTTTTTGTCATGGGACAAGCAAGAAATACCTGCACCTAGGAGAATTTCAGGGAGGGTGGAGAGGGAAGCCAACTGACCAAGTATCCAGCTGTTCGAGACCCTTGCCTGGGCCTTAGGGGGGATCGGCCAGAAGCTTGATCTGTTGAGATAATTCTGGGGCTCTCACTGGCCCCCAAAGCCTTCTCCAAATGTGTATTCGCAATTTGGGCTCTGATACTTTCCCCTTTGTCATATTTGAATTTTGTTTTTATTTTATTTTATTTTTTTAAATCGTTTTATTAGGGGCTCATACAACTCTTATCACAATCCATACACACATCAATTGTGTAAAACACATTTGTACATTCATTGTCCTCATCATTCTCAAAACATTT